GTCAAGGTTGTTTGAGCCACAGCTTGAGGTTTTTTCAGTACCACCTTCCAAAAAGGCAGTCCCATGGGAGAGTCCTATAGAGCACTGAGAAATGTGCCAACTTCTTTGTTACATTTCCAACATTTAATATCAATGTACGATTCAATATGGATAAACATACCTCTGGCATCCTGTGTAACCAAAGTCTTCCCTAATCTCATTACCAAGATCCTTTTGCCATATTAGTCTCAAGCCTTCACACATTCTAGTTTGTATATTTGACATATTCCTATAAAATATTGAGGCAGAGTGTAGAGTATGAGGAGAATTTAAAAACTCTTGAACCTTCTTCTCTTCTCCCTCTTCACTTTTCAGTCCGAAGACAGATCCTACTCTGCGGTATAAATTCCTCCAGAAATCCCCAGCAACCCCCCTCCTCTGAAAAACAATGAACAGTCCCTTACTAAAATGTTATTAGTAATTTTAATAATAATAATTTGAATATGTTTCTCACTCATCCACATCTTATCTGTTACTGTTCTTCCATCTTGTACCATTTAATTATCCTTAACACTCAATCCTTTTCATTGCTTGCAGAGTTTCTTTGATTTTCTTTTCACTCCATTCTGCCTATTCCTTCTCGTCTTCTGTCAAACACTACTTCTCTCCAGTGGATAAGAATTACGCAAATGCCCCAGTACTGTACGTATAGCTATTGCAGGAAGGGAAACCACAAGAGCAATGACGAACACCTTTGAAGTAATAAGGCCTTTTTCCATTTCTTCTCTCATTGTTTTTTTCTACATTCTGCCCTCGCAACCTCACCAACATCAGTCGCTGGGTTTGACAACATTGAAGCTCTCCATTCATGCACAAGGTCTCATGTCCTCCTTATCTTTTATCACTTGTCACACCAGAATAAAGAATGGGCTTCTGTGGAGAAGGGGGGAAAGTAATTTATGACTGACTGGCTGTAAGGAGAGTTTTAGCACCCACAAACGTCACACTAGTTTGCGTCAGAGACAGCACTGTTGGAAGCATTCTCACCTGTTCTTCCAAGTAACGCTGAACAGAAACATCAGACGTGACAGTTTAACAGTGGTCTCAGAGTCAGTCTGCCACCTCAGAATGAAATTTGAAATAGTTTCCGTCAAGGACAAACAACCTGTGATCTGAATCTAAAGCTTCAGTCACTAACCAACCATACATCATGCTTGAATAAAGTCTAAACCAACACATGCTAAACAAACACCCAATACAATTACGCTGCATTGTAGGTTTGATTCCTGTAATGGCCTCTCAGTGTGTGCAGCCACGACAAACAGAAAATGGTTTCACTTTTTTAGAAAGACTCCCCTCAGGCTGTGGGGTGAACCACTCATACACAGGCTGTTGTGCTGCTGTGTTTTATAAGATCCGGTGCTCTGCTCATCGTGTTTGCTGTCTGCTTCAGACATATACACAGCAGGGTTGTATACTAATACGAAGCCAGTGAGGTTAAGAGAAAGAGTTCTGCAGCAGAAAAGTGCTGACCTGTACTGTATTAGTCTGTACGCTCTGCTGAAATCGCATTTGAGATGTTGTCGATTCCAAACAATATTGAAAAACTAATAAAATGTCAAATATATGAGATAGGTGACCTTGAATTGAAGTACAAGCATGGAAATATTAAAGGTGGGAATTCATATGAGGAAAAAAAAAAAAAAAAACAGAAAATGCAAGGTTAGACATTTCCAAAATGTGTGGTAAAATGAACGTCAGAAAAATAGTTAAATAAAAAATCGAATTCACTAAAATGCCCCGATAAAATTTTGAAAGAATAAGGCTTGATTTCTCGCACTTGATGTTGCAGCAGCCCTGAACATGACTGGAGAAGGGCTTTTAGTTTTTAATCAGTGGGGGCTGGTGGGGTCCCTGATGCTTGAGTTGCGGTTTTGGTTCATTGCATGTTGTCCACAGGGCTAAATGTTGACTCAGCTGATGTCCCTCAGAGTTAAATAATGGATGGTCTCAGAGCTCATAAAAGAAAAATGCAACCAAACCCACTTGCCTTCTCACCTCTCTGCTCGATTAAGCTAGGCTCTGCCTCTGACTAAAGCCAAGTGTCAAAGTCAAATATTTTTCAAGGGATGTTTCAAGAAAACAGGAAATCACAGAAACAGTAGTTTCGGCAGCCATTTTTGTGATTACATTCTGATGTTATCAAAGCTGCACTAATCAGTATTTTTTATAGTAATAATTATACAACAGTTAGTTCCGACCAAGCAATTTGATTGGACAAGAGGCATTCTATGAGTGCTGATATACAGTATAACAGTGCTGGGACTTTTAACTATGCATGTATCACTCCTCTTCACAGGTGTTCTGAGCCATTAATTGGTTAGCCGACATTAAGGGTCATCGTAATAAACTTTACACTGCAAAATTAAACATACTGCCACACATAACACTTGAGTTAAATAATAAATGGTCAGAAAAGGATAAAGGGACAGAAAGAGGCCTGGATACTTTACTGCAAACCTCCAGGAAAGCATACATGACATCAGAAGATGATGCAACGTACGGCTTACGCTGTTCACTCATTAGCATCACATGTATGCCACCAAAGCAACTGTCAACAGACTCTTATATCACTGGTTGCAAATAAATGGAAGCATACAGATGTAGCCTACATGATATAAAGTAGCTGGCCTGTGGTAAAGTGTAGACCTACACAAAGTCGCACACTGGTGTGTAAGAGTAATTATGTGTTGCTTGGCAACAGTGCAGAAGTATTTGTGTTGGCGGAGCCAAATAAATCATGATGTAAACAAACAAATCATAAGCTGTTGCTACTTTTTACTGTTGATAAATGGTGCTTATTGAACTGTTGTATAAAACACCATCACTTTAATATCACACAGCTATGATTATCTTCGGCACTCGTGCCTATGGCCGAATCACAGCCATGCTGATATACAGTACAGCAGCACTCCATTTCGTGTGATATTGCTTAATTAAATGTAAAACATAAAAAAAATTGCTAATAGTGGAATCCTATCTGTTTTCCCAGGGTCCTATATTCCCCACTTCAGTATTCTGTTAACACACATTAATGCCCCCATGTTGTGTTTGGCTTAAAGCGAATACAGGGCTGGGTAACATCTCTTTAAGGTTCCCATTACATGCTTTTTCTTAAGTTAATGAATGACTAAATGAGTGAATGAATGAATGATTTCTTTGTTTCCCGGGCATCAAAGGATAAATAAATGACAACAAAAAAAAAAAAAACAACAACAAAAAATTGGCGAAACCAGTGTTTTATATTAAACATCAGTATTGGCTCAGAATTTCACAATCGTTTCAATTTCACTATCACTGTTTGACACAATAAGTTAGCTGTAGCTAATGTGCTATAACTACAACAATAATGACATTTACATGACAGATGGCTTTATGGTATCCTAGCAACAACAACACAAAAACCCCATCAGGTTGCTTTTCTCTGGAGGCTTCAACAGAGAGATGCAGGGTAGCTCATTATTGTTCTTCTAGTGTGATTGGTCTCAAATAGAATTCAAAGCAGCTATTTTTCTTTTGTTATTATTTTGCTGTGTCCAAATTGCACACGTGGGCATGAGCATGAGCTCAGCTAATGGGCATTACACTCACTGACCACTCATTGGGCATGTATTCACACCTTTAAAGGTCACGCACAGTTGGAAAGCTCATATCAGACACTCATCGCTCTGGAAATATTACAAACATTTGTTGCAAAATGTATTCAACATAATGTCAGCTTTGAGTAGTTGTGTGCTGTTGATTTGTTTATTAATTTAATCGTTCCTCTGTCTCTCTTCCATCTGTGCACCCTTCTGTCTCTGCTTCCCACATACATCCAACACACATTCTGGCCGTATCCAATCACAAAAGCCTTTTAGATAAGAGAGTCACGATGCCAAGCTCATGTGAATTTTACCTGCTTACAATACTCTTGGATCTCTCTCAAGGTACAGTGGTTCTCACTGTTTCCCTCACATTCAATTCCACGAGGCTTTCTTTCACATACACTCTTCCATTCTATTCTTTCACATCTCTCATGGGGCTGGAACAAGTGTGGTGGGTTGATCCCTGTTCTCAACCTCCCTCTGAGTCTTTCATAAGGAATCCCCCACCCCAACCCCCAGTGGGCAGGGCCTATCCGCCCCCTTAGTGTCTGACACCATCTGAAACCCAGCTGTACTCGGCACACCGGGAGGTCTCCAGAGTTAGATTCCATCATTGAAGAATCATATCACTCTGATAGCACCTCAGCATTTATTATGCCCAGGAGATACTTTATTGATCCCTTAAGGAAATACCCACGCTCCATAGAGATATCAAAGAGAAGAGTCTGCTCTACAGCAGCAACCCTCTATGTGGCACTGTACACCTTTGGCTCTTTGCTTTAGATGAGAGCACCAGCTTTTACAGAGGACTGTGTGGCCCTGTTCTTGTATCCAGGCATATGGGATACACTATACACTATACACTATACTATATACTCATCGCCCACTTTATAAGGTACACCTGTTCAACTGCTCATTAACACAAATAGTTAATCAGCCAATCATGTGGCAGCAACTCAGTGCATTTAGGCATGTATACATGATCAAGACGACCTGCTGAAGTTCAAACTGAGCATCAGAATGGGGAAATGTGATTTAAGTGGCATTGAACGTGGCATGGTTGTTGGCGCCTTTCTAGTCATCTGACCACTCAAAGCGCTTTTTACACTATGACTCACATTCACCCATTCACACACACATTCACACACTGGTGGCCGAGGCTACCATACAAGGTGCCACCTGCTACTCAGTTTTGAACACACTCACACACTGATAGAACAGCCACCGAGAACAATTTGGGGTTCAGTATCTTGCTCAAGGATACTTCAACATGGAGGGGGAGCCGGGGATCGAACCACTGATCTTCCGATTAGTGGACAACCTGCTCTACCTGCTGATTTACTGTGATTTTCACGCACAACCATCCATCTCTAGGGTTTACAGGGGACAGTCTGAAAGAGAGAAAATATCCAGTGAGCGGCAGTTCTCTGGGCAGAAGAATGCCTTGCTGATGCAGAGGAGAATGGTCAGACTCAAGATGATAGAAAGGCAACAGTAACACAAATAACCTCTCATTACAACCAAGGTATGCAGAAGACTATCTCTGAAGGAACAATGGGTCGAGCCTTGGAGCAGATGGGCTACAGCAGCAGAAGAGCACACCGGGTGCCACTCCTGTCAGCTAAGAACAGGATACTGGATACTTCCTGCTTCCAGCAGGATAGCACACCATCTCACAAAACTAAGATCATCTCAAACTGGTTTCTTGAACATGCCAATGAGTTCACCGTACTCCAATGGCCTCCACAGTCGCCAGAGCTCAATTGAGTAGAGAGCATTTGGGATGTGGTGGAACGGGAGATTGGTATCATGAATGTGCACCCAGCAAATCTGCAGAAACTGTGTGATGCTATCATGTCAACATGGACCTAAATCTCTGAGGAATGTTTCCAACATCTTGTTGAATCTATGCTGCAAAGAATGAAGGCAGCACTGAGGGCAAAAGGGTGTCCAACACGGTGTAGTGGCTGGTGAGTGTATGTTCACCTAAACAAATTAAATGCGTGCTTGGGACTGGGTGATTCAAGATGCCGTTTACATCACAATGTAATAGACCTACAGTTTGCGCTTGCAGATATTTGATTGGCTGCCGCAGTTTGTTGCAGGATGATGTCCCATTGCATGGTGGCAAAAGCTTAGCCATCTTCAACACATTGTCAGGCATCTTTGTTTGGTGAAATAAATCTTTTTTTCTTTCTTTTTTGCCACAGTGCTAATCTTGTCCTGAACACTTCCAATTTTAAGTGTCAACAGGGTCCTTGTCTGACCATTCCACTTTATGCACAGAGTGACTTGGAGAGTAAAGTAGGTACATGAGTAGGTACTGTGTTTGAGTGTCTCATTACCTGCCTTACACCAAAAAATTCTGTAACATTGGTTAATACATAAATAATAGGAACTAACGGCAGAGATAGAGCGCGACTAGCATATCTCAATGCATGTAACAAGGTGCTTTACAAAATAGAAAGATACTCTAAATAGGTATCAGTGTAAATATGAATAAAACAGGATAATACAATACAGCTAAAATGGGTGCAACAAGAAATCGTTACAAATTGCAAGTATTTTGATCGATGACACAAACCGGAACACCTCTGAGGGCACTTTTCCAGCCCGTTCAATAATTCAACCATCAACAGTGTCTGTCCATCCATTTCCCAATACACCGTCCTTCTCCCTCCTCAAAGATATTACACTGAATGGATACTGAGCAAGGATATGAACTGCTGAGTGTTCATCCTTAGTGCTGACTTGCCAAACACCTTTGGCAGCCACTCAAAGTGCTCAGGAGCTGGCTGGCCCTCATGGTTATACAGTGGGCTGGTACCTGCCAGGAGCTTCACAGCTGCTATTATTTGTCACTTAGAGGTGGAAATGGGAAGTTTAGGGCAGGAAAAGGTCATACTCTGTGTGTGTAGTTAGAAGTCATTTGTTGGGCTGCTGATGGACTTTATGTGCCAGCTGCCAGACTTTGGTGCTGAATATACTTTGTAAAAGTCATGATTAGCTCTTATTGATTGGTATGGCAAGTTATGTATTATGATATAGTTAACTGTCAGTTATTGTTAGATAATCTACATAAGTATATTTAGTGCTTTTATCTCAAGACAAAGACATGCTCTTGGCAGTGCTGCAGCGCACCAGCTGATGATAATAAAGCCACAGTGGAAACTGAGTGTTTGGGAGTGACAGTGGGTGATGACATTTCTGGTAAGGCAAGAAAATTGGAGGGAAACATTTTAGCATGTCAGTGCTGTGCAATGAAGAAGCTAAATGTGGTCGTAGTTACATGGTTCCAGTTCCAGTTCATTATATCGGGTGTGCATAGACGTATCCTGTGATAACCTTGTTCGTATATGGTGTGTAACCAAAAGTTCGTATTGGCCATTGGTTGTTGTGTTTCATAATGCAGCCCTTCTTGGACTGACGACCAAATGTTTCCCAGTGTTTCTCCAACTGTCTCTCCAATCTCAACATTTGACTGGGATAACCCAAAATCACATGGTGCCTACACATACATACACTGTTTACTGCAGAAACCACAGCCGTTTCCAATTCAGCATCTGAAACAACACTCCTCCTCCGAAAGTTGTGCTCCATGCAGAATCTCCTGCGTGTGTCTTGCCACTCTCAAAAAGTTCACAGATCAGGTCTGCAAAAGGCTGGAGTGCAGCCATAACGAGGCTACAAGCAGTTGAGAATGGAGCCCTCCTCTGCGAAGTTCAACAGTTCCTCCACAGATCTCCCAGCATTCCCTGAATTTATCCAGATATCGCAATAACATAACAGAGAAATTAAAAACTTCATTTTCACGTTCTTCTGTTTTAATTTTAAAACAAAAAAACAACTACAAAATGTGTGATTTCTGTTGTTCTGTTTTCCCGTTTTTCTGTTTTTCTGATTTGGTTTTGAAACGGAAAAATGAAAGAACAAAGGGTAGACAGATTATACTCTACCCCCAAAATGATAATTTGTAGATCAGTTACTCACCCCATGCATGTTAACTTGAATTTTTGAAAATAACTTTGTTTTTCTCGCATGCCTCCAGGGCGAACAAAGAATCCAAAAACAGTCTCGATGGATTGAAGTCAAGGAGTTTGCCTTTAACAACAGCAAAACTATATCAAAACATCTGTTTACAAATTCTCACACAACTCCTGCTGTATAATCCAAGTCTCATTTATCCAGTCACATGCTGAGTGCTTCACAAACATGAACATTTTTGCCTAAACCTTATGACTTAAAACACTTCATACAAGTCGGCCTGAGCAAGGGCATTCAGCTGTGCACTCAGGGCGCGCTACTCACCCATGCATGGGACTGTTTTTGTGAAAGTGTTTCAATTTGTAAGGTTTGTGTGAAAATGCATGTGTTTGTCAAATACTGATCATTCACCAGAATGTATGAGACTTGGATTACACTGCACGTATGACTTAAATTCACTAAGACTTTTCTCTGTTTTCGGTTTCTTCATTCACCGTGTTTTAAAGAGTTCAATTTAATGTGGGGTGAGTAATCTGGGGTCATTTTGTGGATGAAGTATTCTTTGAAACATAGAAACACATCATTGCCTTTAAGTAGCATTGTTAGCTGTAACATTCAGTGTGGTAAAAGTGTTTAAAAGTGCTTTCTCTTATTTATTTTAATGTTTGCTTTCATCTACTCATTAATTTAAAGCATATTATCCCTTTACTAGGACACAAGTGACTTACTTGCTCACATTATCTGTAATATCTGAGCCAGCTAGTGTTTGCCCTTATCCTCCTGTCTTTTGTCATAGCTTTACATTATGTTTTATAAAAGGCAGATGCCGAGGTGTGGTAAAGGCAATTTTCTCGGCTTAGCTACAGTGATTACTGTCATTTCGTCCTGGGCTTTGTCTGAAAGATAGTTCCCTGCTCTCATTTCCATGTTGCTCCCACTCTCCAGTCACTGAATAACTACAATCTGATTTTGTAAGCGCTAGACAATGAGCAGAGGGTTTTGTAAAAACAGGCGTATGGTGCCTGGGTTTACACATCTTATGTTAGTTTGGCTACTGTACTATCGTCATGCCCACTTTAGACTTAGGAGCATTTTAGTGCTTTCTTAAATCCTAAGACAACTACTGAATGTTTGATTATTGGAATGAGATGTCAATCACTGATTCTGTTTCTTCACTACAGTCAAGAACACAGGGATGATGTTGGATTTTTTTCATATATCCGATATGCCAATATACAACGACTTATTTATTAACTGTTAACCGATACAGATAGCGATATTGATACATCCATGTTTTCCCCACCTAATTTTTAGTGATCATCAAGTGTCTTCTGTACTGGACATACTATCATATTATGCATGCATACTCTTATTATGATGGCCCACCAGCAGATGGAGACATGAAATAGAATGCTTTTCAATGTATATAATATTGTGCAAAATAAGAAAAAGCATGTTGGCCACTTCTGAGCATTCATTTTAAAGCCAATATTGGCTGATATTGATGATGTATCGATATTATCAGAATGTCTGCTGATTCTGATTGTTCATTTTAAAGCCAATATTGGACAATACCGATAAGGTGCCGATATTATTGTGCATCCCTAGTAACTTTTCCCAGCTCGTCTCTGAGTTGCATCCACCAACAGATGTCTATCAGTGGGGAAGGTATTGAAGTGGTAGATGACTTCCATGAATGCAGCACAAGTGAAGCTTTCCATTCGTTTTTTTTTTCTTTCTCAGCAGCATTTTTGGGAGTCTCGGGGTGGAAAATTCCACCAGATCAGACTCCAGATCCGTTCAGAGGTGATCAGATCAATTGAGAGGAGCAGAGGCAAGTTAGACCCAGAAGAATGAACGGTTAGGTTTTACTTTCAGTGCGCCTGATGTTCTGCTGCTCCATCTGTTCCAAGAGTGTGCTCTGCTCTCAGACAGTGTGGTGCTATAAATAACAGAATGGTATATGTATTTCAACAGCACTCCTAATTAATGGTTCAGCTCCAAAAATAGAAACACTGTTTGTGGCAGCAGGTGTTTTGATCATGGTGGGCTGCCACAAATAAAATAATTTGTGGAAAAACCTGCAAGTACCCACCAACCCAACTACCCACTTATTCAACTACCTACCTACCTTACTACCTACCTACTCACTTACCTACCAACCTACCTGCCATCCTAACTACCTACCTATTTACCCACCCGTTTATCTATAAATATTCAGATCAATATAGATAAATAAAGCCTTTGAATCATTCAGGTGGTGGGAAGAACTACTACCAACTGACCAGATACTGTGGTCAGTTTGCAAGTTCACAAAATTAAAACAGAACTGGTAAAAATCAGGTTTTCCTGAACAAAATGTGTTAGCAGTGGTGAATGTCATTGACAGAGTAACACTAAGTAATCTTTTATTGAGCTGGTGCGTCTGGGATTAGTTAATGTCTGTATGTACATCTCACAGATCTTAACAAAATGCTTCATTCTTCATCTGCTTGTACCTGGTGTGGCTCTGTCTCTCAGCTCTTGGCCTTACAGTATCTCTTGTGTGTATAAGCGCACATGAATATTCAAACTTGCTCTCATTGTTAGTCTCTCTGAGTCAGAGCCCAAGTGCCTGTAAATGTAAATGTCTTCAGATGTGTTGTGATAATAGTACTGAGCAGTTGCCACTTTGTGCTCTGAGTCAACCATGGGACATACAGTGAGCGCGGCTGACACACTGCCATCTGTGTTGTGTTGTGTGTGGTGCAGGATCCCTGGCAGGCTCAATGACAGACGCACTCCCCTCGGAGAGCTAAACTGGATCTTCACAGCCATCACTGACACCATTGCCTGGAATGTGCTGCCTAGAGGTGAGGCTTTAAACACACAGAGACACACACATTATGGATGCACACTGCACAGGTAAACTTGTTTAATCAAATCTCACCATTTTATTTTTCACATTTTACAATCTGACAGAATTTACTACAAACTCGGGTCTTATTTTTGTTATTTTGGCCATCATTTCCATCAGTAATGATGACATTGTACTCACCAAAGTAATTGATGAAATTTGGAACATGGTGACATTTCTAAAAAGAAGCTCCAGAAAAGAGCAAGCAACAGGAATTGTCAGCCAGTTAACCATTCGCTAAACCCCTCCTCCTAAAAATGTACACTCATAGCTTAGCAACTGTAACTAGGCACTAGGTCTGGGGTTGCATAAATGTTCGAAGGGTAGTGTTTCTTTTTTGTCTTTCCAAAAGCACAAGCACAGGAGAAAAAGTAAAGTCCCTGTTGGTGCTGGTCACTAATGATCAGCCACTCCAGCAAGTTACAAGTTACCAGCCTAGTAAGGTAATGACAAGCCGCTCTTGTAGCAGCTTCAGTGGGTGCTTCAGTGGGTTGTTAGCCTTAGCATACTAGTAACCAGCCTTGGAAGCTCTTGACCAGCTGCTCTTGTGGCCACTCCAATGGTTTACTAGCCTTGACATACTAGTTACCAGTCTTCGAAGCTATCGACCAGCTGCTCCAGTCGCTGCTCCACTGGGTTGCTAGGTTAAATGCATGAGTTACCACCTTGGTCAAATTATAGCTGGCTACTCATTTCCCAATGCCAGCCTCTCGGTGCAGGTGGCCGAGAGGCTGGCATTTCCCAATGCCAGCCTCTCGGCCACCTGCACCTTCTTATCATTAGCTAGATCAGTAGCTGGCTTTGGCAAGGATATAGTCTCTGCCAACTTCTCAGCTGTCTTACTTTTGTACTTTTGTTGGCTAACGTTAGCAGCCTTTCGGATCTTTGGAGTTTTACCCTTTCTAAACCCCAGCCAGTATTACCATATTCCTACATATAACCGTCTTCTGCATGGGACAACCTTACCTGTATACTACTTATCTTTATACTTACCTGCAGTGCTATGCTGATAAGAAGATACCTTATCTGAAATCAGTCAAAAATGTGGTATTAAAAAAAAAAAAAAAGATCTTGAAAAGGTTTTAAATTTAAGTGTCTGATACCTGTAGACACCCTGCTCTTGCAACATTAAAACATACTGTTTGAAAATATGAACAATAAAGAATAGATCTGACCTCTTCCTTACTTGTCCAAGTATGAAAGCTGAGTGGAGACACATAATTGCATTTCCTAATGTAGTGAAGGATTGAACCGCTGTACTCTCCCTCTGATTGGCTACGTCTTGATTGGTTGGTTTGTTTAGGTTTAGGCAAGAGGAGTGGGATTATTTAGGGTTTGGGTAAGACTGTCGGGGTGAGCCAATTAAAGGCAGAATAGCGTGAGTCTAGTCCTTGCTATACAACGAACATTCGCAAGCCAATCAGGGTCATGTTGGAATAAGATAAAACAATGTGAGCTTTCATAACACAAGGACTAAGGCTGTTTCCTTATTACATGTCCTCTAGAACAGTGGTTCCCAACTGGTCCAGCCAAGGGGTCCAGATTTCTCATTAGTCATTACTTTAGGGGCCAAATACATTTAACATTATAATTGCGTCTGGCAATGTCATCATGCTAGTTTGCTGTCTCTGTCAAATAGTTGCCCCTTAGCTACTCATTCTGCAGCAGGAAACAGTACGTCAAAATAAAATCTCTGTGCTGGAAAATCACTGTACTTCAAAATAAAGTGAGAGTTGGTTTTTTTTTTTTTACAAACTTTACACGTCTGTGTCACTTGTGGTCCATTTGGAATGGATGCTGACCCACTTTTGGACTGTGACCCACCAGTTGAGAACCACTGGACTACACAGTGAGGTTGATTAAGCATGATTTCATGTAGGCCATCAAGAGCCATCAATATTTAAGACTCTTTTACAAGATTTTTAAAAGAGTATTTTTAAAGAGTCAGCTTGGAGCTAGCTTGCTTGCTACAGCTGATCAAATCTGCCAGTGAAATTTAGGGTGGCAAATTCAACAAGTATTGGCTACAGATGAGAAGCCTGTTCTCTTGCTCTCTTTGTAACCAACTGTCTATTGTTTCAAAAATACTATGAATTGTTTGTTTTAAATCATTGTAAACTCTGTGCAGAGATATGCAGGTTTCTGAAGTTGTTGGGCATAGTTATAGTGGTGTGGTAGTGTTCTCAAATGTGGCATTTACTTTGATGAGTGCAGTGTTATCATAACTGGTAGAAACTGGGCTAACACTATGAAAATAACACCCATGTACTGGTGTTATTGCTGTTGAAGGTGATGGAAAGACACACTTGTTAAGACACACTTTAGTTTTGAAAGCGTTAAAAACTTTATTTCAACATGTCTAGCCAATGATGAAAAATGAAAAGAGCCGCATGTTTCACCTCACTGGGAGCCCAAATTAGGGCAGCTAATAAAAAACAGTAGTGAAGCATCAGCAATACTAAAACTTTGAGAAGATCCCCAGTGGTTGAAAAAAGTGAAGATGTTGATATAAAATGCCAGGAGTGCAGTAAGTGCAGGTTGGCTCCTCAAATGGAGATTAATTGTGTTTAGAGTGTCGAGCGCAGTAACTGGGGAGATCATTTTAACCGTAATTTGGCGACTGTAACAGGAAGTATGCACACACATACACACTCCAGCCAAAATCTGTATAGTGACAACACAAGCATACTGACACACACTGCCACTAACCATTACCCACAGGCTCAGCTTACCTATTTGGAAATACTCACACACGTTTTTTTTGACATGCATTTATATTTTGCATGCAGCATATCTCTCATTGCTCACCTGTCTCTTATATGCAGCTCACACACTCTCTCTCTCTCTCTCTCTCTCTCTCTCTCTCTCTCTCTCTCTCTCTCTCTCTCACACACACACACACGCACGCGCACGCACGGACGCACACACACACACACACACACACACAGGCACACACAGACTCCCCTGAATCAAACTATCCCAGCTAGAATAGAAATGTGACAATGCTGATGGCTGCCAAAGCCTTTTAAACCCCCGGGGCTGTGCTGTTAATGAAGCAGCCCACATCAGAGAGTATCCCTGTAATGAAGGCACCACACACTTAATCCACACACACACTCTGTCACCTCACACACACAGACACACAGCTGCACAAACACTTCAGCATTTAAACAGCGGAACACTAACAGCAGGCACAGGAGTTGTCAGACACTGTCTCTCATATAATATCCCCGACACACACTCCCTCACACAAACAGGGGAATCACAATCATAAGACAGAGATTGGCATGGGATTGGCTTGGCCCCGTTAAAGTGAATTAGTGAGTACATTAATGAGCTGATGAAAATGTGACTGCAACCCATTGCTTTAATCTGCATATCACTGTCCTCTATATTCTGTAAGCATACACACAAACGACCCTGTTTTTCTCTACGCGTTGCTCTAATTAAACTTCTTTCTTTTACCCAGTTTTGGTTTTCATTCACTCACTCAACTCCCCATTTTCCCCTCTTGTAGTCTCTCCATCCGTTCATCCCATTCCTGTGAATGTGATATCTGAAGAACACTTTGAGGGAGTTACTTCAATTTGGCACAAACCTAAAATGGGACTCAACACTAAACTGGTTAGATTTTGGTGGTCAAAGGTCAAGGTCAAGGTGAAGGTGACCTTATCTGTCTTATTCTTGTGAACGTGATATCTCAACAACACCTTGAATTTCTTCAAATTTGGCATGATCGTTCACTTGGACTCAAGGATGAAGTGATTAGATTTTGGTCTTCCAAGTTCAAGGTCACTGTGACCTTGAATCTGTCTCATTCTTGTGAATGGAATATCTCAAGAGGGCCTTGAGGGAGTTTCCTCAAATTTGGTACAAATATTCCCTTTGACTTGGATATCCAAAATCTGACCTAAAGGTGAACTCACTGTGATGACATAATGCTAACCCCTAACCCTTTTTTGCCATTACTCAACGTCATATCTCAGGAACAGAAGGGTAGACATTTGGTCAGATATTAAATTGGTGACTTTAATCTTTTCAAGGATCTACACAATCAGACACAGTTTCTTTTAAGAACGGTGATTGTGTAGATCTTCTGTGCTGCTGGGGTTAAGAGGTTTGTGAAGAATCCATGTTTTTACAGACACGGATGTTAACTGTAAGGGCAACTTGACCTGATCACACAGAAACATACAACTGCAAATTAGTAATTCTAGTTTATTCATTCAGTTCCCATTGTCTCTTTCTGACATGATGCATGATTTCTACTCTGTCTTTAGATTTGTTCCAGAAGTTGTTTCGTCAGGACCTGTTGGTGGCCAGCTTGTTCCGCAATTTCCTGTTAGCAGAGAGGATAATGAGGTCATACAACTGCACACCCGTCAGCAGTCCCCGTCTGCCCCCTACATACATGCATGCCATGTGGTAAGACGCACAGAATTGGAGGTTGATTTTTAATGCACACAGATACACAGATGTCCTTGGCTTTGCAGAGCAAAAGGCAAGAGGAAGGAGGCTTTGCTTTGTGTTCATACACACTGAATTTTAAGGATTGACAGACTTTCTAATGTACATTCTTTGATGAGACAAAAGACAGTGTTGTGTTATTTATGATATGTGTATTTAGTGCTATGAAATGATTACTTTTAAACAGACATTGAGAGATTAGAAAGTGATTTTAACTTGGTCAGTTTTCCACAAATAACAGAAATGCCTCGGGGCCTGTTTGCCCAAAAGTCATGGCCTCATTTATTGTATAAAAACTCCCCTCGGAAACAGTTTTCCACTGTACTTGATGTACAGTACAATGTACTTTGTGTTGTTGCCATCATTTAGTTTGGTTTTGTATTATTTTTAATACCATAGGCAATAAAGTTCACCAGGGATGACTTTTTTCTGTAGGCCGACGTGAAAGTACGTGTCGCCCTGATTTCTTTGTTAAAAACCATGTCAGATTTTCCCACTGGATCTTGGATTATTACAGAACTTAATCTTGGTGGCAACCAAACGGTTTTGCCAGAAAGATAATCTTCACAAATGAATATGACTATTATGATAATGGTAATGACTATTATTTTATTATTAATTTAAAAACACAGAATTGCAAGAAAATAAGCATTATTATTTATATGTCAACCAGTTTGCCTTCAAATATTCAGTAACAACTAAACAAAAATTATTTCTCATTTCTTTAGTTTGTTAACAACAGTAACTCAGTGAGATTTAGATTCTGCATGCAATATTAATAGTACAACAAAATAAAATCTACCACAAATTACACATTTAAACAGTTCCCCAATACAAAAAATGTACTCTGGGATTAAAAAAAGTTATATATATATATATATATATATATATATATATATATACAGTACAGGCCAAAAGTTTGGACACACCTTCTCATTCAATGCGTTTTCTTTATTTTCATGACTATTTACATTGTAGATTCTCACTGAAGGCATCAAAACTATGAATGAACACATGTGGAGTTATGTACTTAACAAAAAAAGGTGAAATAACTGAAAACATGTTTTATATTCTAGTTTCTTCAAAATAGCCACCCTTTGCTCTGATTACTGCTTTGCACACTCTTGGCATTCTCTCCATGAGCTTCAAGAGGTAGTCACCTGAAATGGTTTTCCAACAGTCTTGAAGGAGTTCCCAGAGGTGTTTAGCACTTGTTGGCACCTTTGCCTTCACTCTGCGGTCCAGCTCACCCCAAACCATCTAGATTGGGTTCAGGTCCGGTGACTGTGGAGGCCAGGTCATCTGCCGCAGCACTCCATCACTCTCCTTCTTGGTCAAATAGCCCTTACACAGCCTGGAGGTGTGTTTGGGGTCATTGTCCTGTTGAAAAATAAATGATCGTCCAACTAAACGCAAACCGGATGGGATGGCATGACGCTGCAGGATGCTGTGGTAGCCATGCTGGTTCAGTGTGCCTTCAATTTTGAATAAATCCCCAACAGTGTCACCAGCAAAACACCCCCACACCATCACACCTCCTCCTCCATGCTTCACAGTGGGAACCAGGCATGTGGAATCCATCCGTTCATCTTTTCTGCGTCTCACAAAGACACGGCGGTTGGAACCAAAGATCTCAAATTTGGACTCATCAGACCAAAGCACAGATTTCCACTGGTCTAATGTCCATTCCTTGTGTTTCTTGGCCCAAACAAATCTCTTCTGCTTGTTGCCTCTCCTTAGCAGTGGTTTCCTAGCAGCTATTTGACCATGAAGGCCTGATTGGCGCAGTCTCCTCTTAACAGTTGTTCTAGAGATGGGTCTGCTGCTAGAACTCTGTGTGGCATTCATCTGGTCTCTGATCTGAGCTGCTGTTAACTTGCCATTTCTGAGGCTGGTGACTCGGATGAACTTATCCTCAGAAGCAGAGGTGACTCTTGGTCTTCCTTTCCTGGGTCGGTCCTCATGTGTGCCAGTTTCGTTGTAGCGCTTGATGGTTTTTGCGACTCCACTTGGGGACACATTTAAAGTTTTTGCAATTTTCCGGACTGACTGACCTTCATTTCTTAAAGTAATGATGGCCACTGGTTTTTCTTTAGTTAGCTGATTGGTTCTTGCCATAATATGAATTTTAACAGTTGTCCAATAGAGCTGTCGGCTGTGTATTAACCTGACTTCTGCACAACACAACTGATGGTCCCAACCCCATTGATAAAGCAAGAAATTCCACTAATTAACCCTGATAAGGCACACCTGTGAAGTGGAAACCATTTCAGGTGACTACCTCTTGAAGCTCATCGAGAGAATGCCAAGAGTGTGCAAAGCAGTAATCAGAGCACAGGATGGCTATTTTGAAGAAACTAGAATATAAAACATGTTTTCAGTTATTTCACCTTTTTTTGTTAAGTACATAACTCCACGTGTTCATTCATAGTTTTGATGCCTTCAGTGAGAATCTACAATGTAAATAGTCATGAAAATAAAGAAAACGCATTGAATGAGAAGGTGTGTCCAAACTTTTGGCCTGTACTGTATGTATATATAGATATGTATAAAATCAACAGGTGATTTCCTTCTCTTTTAGCAAAATCCTAAATGATTGAGATGTTTTTTTTTCCCACCTGGACCTTTATGCTCTGCCATTTCTCTTCTAATCATCACGCTGTAACCTGTGACAGGCTGTTATGCTACCATAACTATTGCACAGTCACATATATGTAGTTTTTTTGTCAAGCTGCGAGCATCATGTAGGCTTACATTACCAAAGATTCATGACAAAATAACTTGATAACACTGACTCCCGTGTGCGCACGGCGAGAGAGGAGAGGGAGAGATGCTGTGCTGCTGCCAGAGGAGCCGCTGAATGAGTTCCCTCTGAGCTGCAAGTTGCTAAAAGAAGCTGAGAAGTCCGGGGCTGTTCTTAAAACAGTCAGGACGCCCAGGCCTAACAACATCAATATGTAAACAAGTCGAAATATCACAATATGAATTTTTCCTATCATATTAAAAATTATACCGGTATTAGCGTGAATGAGATGATATGGCACACCCTCACTGTAGAGGCTAAAAGTGTTTTGTGACCAGGCTGTAAACATGTTTATTTCTGCTGTAAAGTCTGGCATTTTGACATGGGGGATCTATGGGGATTTATTCTGTTTTGGAGCCAGCTTCAAGTGACCATTCAGTCAACGGCAGTTTTTGGCAATTCTGCATTGGCATCATTTTTCAGCCTTGGAGGTTGACGCATGGTTTTGTAGTCTGATTTAGTCACTTGTTAGCAACCCCATTTTTTAAAATGCATAAAAGATTCAAAATTCATGTATTTTATGTTGTAGAACAAAACATGAAATTTTCTTCAGCTTGTGTTAATCACAGACCTTGTTTTAGGCATCTACCAAAACCCCACTGAGAAAACCCATTGACTTTGAGATGAGTGAACCGGGAGTGCTAAAATGCTCACTCATTTATGGGTTTTAGAACTCATTCCAGGAGCACTTGGAAAAGCATAGCATGTTTTATCAAAGTAAGATATTCTGAGGAATATTCATACCCCCATTTTGATATCAGTATCAGCTCTGTGCATTCAGCGGCACAGGCTTTGGTCCAAGACATGCTATACTTAGCTTAGCGCACAGACTGGAAGCAGGGGCTAATGGCTAGCTTGTGTCACCAAACGTGCCTTTAAACAACTCCAGCGGTGTTATATTGTATCTTCTACTGTATACATTGTATCCTGTGGATAAAGCACATGTAGGAATAGAAAACAGGAAACTGGTTTAACAAGAAGCTAGCTTTCCTGTTGGAGCTAATTACTAAGCTACAGCAGCGGAAGGTGGTGACTGCACACAACACCTCAGTATCTCGGTCCTCACGGTTGAGAGGTTGCCAGCCTCATACACTTTCCTGACTCTCAGCAAAACCCAGGTGAGGTTTCTTTAGTGGCTAGCTTGCTAGCTTACAAATTACAACATGACAAAAGAGACCATTTTTATTAGTTGACAGGCGTTTTCCTCTGTCCTTGGAGGCTAGCTCTTCCCTTTGTACAGTTGTTAAGCTAAGCAAGGCTTAACACCCTGGGTCAGTCTCTCTCCTGATTTAACAGGGAGGACGTTGATATTCATTATTCCCCCAAGCTCTCGGCAATAAAGCAAGTGTGTTTGCCACAATGTCAGGGTATTCCTGATAGAGGCAGAACCGTGGTTGAAAATAGTGTGAGAATGGAACAGATAGACTTGAGGGTACAGAATGTGGTTACAAAAAGATAATTGGTATCAGAAACAAACTCAGGAAGCCTGATTTATTTCTGTGTAGGTTGTTAAAGGTAGGATTTTCCTAAAAAAAATAAAAATGTGTAGACTCATACAGAAATAATGCCTCTGTCATCACTAATGACCTACCCTCAGTGCGTGGTTGTGTATTAACTGCAGAGACTCTGCCCTCTGCCTGTATTTTCTTCTTATCTTCTTAGTTTTCCGTATTCGAAATTCCTAGGCACAGCATGCAGGTGAAGTCGGGACATTTTAAAAACATAGCGACCAGGTAGTAGCTGCACGCATCTAAGAGGGAGTTATAAAAATTGCGGACACAGCATCAAAAAAAGACAAAATTATTGAGTAGAAATACCAAATGGACAAAGCTCGCTTCAAAAGGGAATCTGTGGTTTCACTTTCACTGGTGATACTGAATACAAACAGTAACTGACAATTTCTACATATTGTACTCTCAGTTTTGCACTGTTACCACTTGTTACTGTATGGTGCATTATCATGCCCATAAGATTGCTTTCACTGCACTTGAATAAGCAATGTTATTGCCAGCAGCATCACAGTGAGACCTCACATGTAGAGCATGATTCTCAGAACTGATTGATTCTTATATAAAGGGACTAAAGTGGTTCATCAGTCATTAAATAAACAAGTCATTGTATTAAGTAACATCTGTTTCCCATATTTTAGGCCTCA